GGCCCCCCCCCACCTTTTTTTACTCGCCCCCCTTTAGGTTTCCCGCGGAAAAAAAAACCGGGGTACAAAAAAAAACCACCACCCTGTTGCCGGGCCCCAGAAAGTGTTTGGGTTTTTTTTACAACCCGTTGCCCAGGGGAGAAAACCCCACCCCCGAGGGAAACCCCGGGGGGGGGGGGGGGGCGTGGGGAGGTGAAATCGCTCTTCCTTCGAGTGGTGGTCGCTCTTTGACAAAGAGGATGTCGACCGATCAGCTTAGGAAGGCAAACAGTGGAAGATATACTCCATTCCGTATGTGCGTGAGATCGGCTCTTCCTTCAAGGTGTGGTTGCCCTCAAAGAAAAGAGTGTCGACCGACAGCTGTGGGAAGAAAAGCAAAAGAAGGGGGGGGGAATATGCTCCACTGCTGCTAATGTTCATGGATTTCGTGCCAATCCACCGGTGGTGTGGGAGCAACCGAGGGGAAGGGGAAGGGGGATGTTCATGTATGTATCCATATATCTACGGCGGGAGACGACATAAGCGGTGTGGGGACACAAAAGGAGGACTGCATGTCATCACTTGACACTCAAGTCGAAAACCACAGCAAGAGAGACTGTCGCACGCGCCCAATCCCTTTCGTGTACACGGCATCTACCTTGCACCTACGCGGCCTCGTCAACCAGAGGGGACAAGCGGCGCGACAAAAAACAATCCCATGACCCGTTTACCCCCCACAGGGATTCACCTGCGTGTTGAGCGCTTTGATGATCTCGCTGCTCTCCCCCATGATGTCGAGGCTGGCCTCCATCCGCTGTCTGTCCTCGGCTTCCAGCTGCTTCTTGTGCCTCGCCAGGGTGGTGGGGCTGAAGAACCCCATCGCCCCCTTCATGAACGACCCCGCTCCCGCCGCCGCCGCAGCCGCGACCCCCGCTCCGCCGCCGCCACCGCCGCTTGCCGCCGACCCCGTAGAGGATGACTTGCCGCCGTCCCCGCTCCTGCCCGGTATGGACGACAGCCTCGGCGCGTCCCCGACCATGTCTAGGACGCCTCCGCCGCCATCGGTTGCGGGACTGTTGTCATTGAAACGTGGGGGGGGGGGGATGCGGTGTGGGGGGGGTCGAGCAACAACAACAAACAACAACAACAACAACAACAACAACAACAACAACAACAACAACAACAACAACAATACGAGTTGCCTGGAGGGCTACAAGAGGCGAGCGGGGGGTTGCGTACTCGGTAGTTGTTTGCCTCAGTCGTTTGTAGGTACGCACTAGTAGCAAACACTCCCTACATACTCTGTGCGCTTGATGTAGAATACGTCCCTTTCTGTGGCGTTTTTTGTGGCCACGGCCGCCTATCTCCCAGTACAGTCAAGCGATTTTTTCTAGCTACAAATGTCACACGCATTTTTTTCTGTAACTCTTGATTCATCGAAGGGGTCTCTTTCTTGTCTACATGACCTCGCCACGTTGTTTACCATCCCCCCCCCCACTCAGAGAGCGACACAGCAGTCTCCCAACCTCTTGCAACAACGCCGCGATCTAATGTATCGTTCACGTCTAGACCTCTCCTGAACTCACTTCACGAATCAGCCTGCAACAACATGCCCGCTCACAGCGGTTCCCTGCTCGTACAGCTAGACAACAACGCGACTCGGAAGCCTGATGCCCCCTACACCAACACCCCACCGCCACCGGACGACAAATATGGCCGACACCTTGACCACCCCTTCCCCCGTCACTCCCTGCCCCCGTGGATATTGGCTCTACACAGGTTTTCTCCGCCTCGCTCCGCCACGATGTCTGCCAACGACACCGCCGCCGCCGTCAAACCGGAGCCTTCCAAGCCCCCCTGCTCTTCTTGCCCGCCAATATACCGCCACTCCACCCCGTCAGCCGCTTGGGACGCTCTCGCCATCGCTGAACGGCCATGTGCCGTAGACAGCGCCTCCGCCGCTGCCAACACCGCGCGGGACGAAGAGGCCGCCGCCGCCGCGCAGCATGCTCGGGAATTGGTGCGACAAGAGCAACAGCAGCAGAGAGCTGCCGAGGCCACCGAGAAGGCCACTAAGCTGCTGGACCAGCACACCCCACGGCAACCCATCGCCTCCCAAAACTCCACGAAGAGTGGGCCGCCCTGGAGCACCAGCAGCGCGACAGGCGTGCCGCAATCGAACTTGAGGAACAAGCAGCCATCCACGAGAGAGACGACCCCGTCGACGACGTCGACACCAGTCCCTCTCGCCGCACCCAACGCCGCGTCCGTGGTGGCGCCCGCAAGGCCGCTCCCCCCACCACCATCCCCCTCCGGTTCATCTCCTCCGAGCCCCGCCCGCAACAACACCTTCGAAGCCACGGGCATCCTACCCAACTACGCCGCCGCCACTCGCAGTGGTGTAGAGGAGTCCGTCGCGTGGTACCACTCCACACCCCTTTCGACGTGCTCGCCAAAAAACACCTGGTATATACCACAGTGGGTTTCAGCAACTCCCGCCGGGACCGCGTTCGGCAAGCTGGACCCTCACTCCTCGCCCGTTTGCCTTCGGACCTGGTGGAAGACGCCGACTTCTCCCACGTGTGGCCACAAGTTGACAACGACAGACAGAGTGGCATCTCCACCGAAGTCGCTGCCACCACCGTCGCTAACGGCCTATCTGGCTGCGTCAAATGATGAAGGCCGCCAGGGGCGTTGGCGACCGTGACGGTGACTTCGGTGTAGATGCCGTTTCGTCTGTTGCAGTCAGCTTGTGGCCACACGTGGGAGAAGTCGTCGTCTTCCACCAAGGTCCGGCCGGAGGCAAACGGGCGAGGAGTGCGGGTCCGGCTTGCCGAACGCGGTCCCGGTGAGGGTTGCTCAAACCAACTGTGGTATATACCAGGTGTGTTTTTTTTTCGAGAACGGCGAGGGGTGTGGAGTGGTGCCACGCGACGGACTCCTCTTCACTACTGCGAGTGGTGGCGGCGTAGTTGGGCAGGATGCCCGTGACTTCGAAGGTGTTGTTGCGCGCGGGGCTCGGTGGAGATGAACCGGAGGGGGATGGTGGTGGGGGGAGCAGCCTTGCGGGCGCCACCACGGACGCGGCGTTGGGTGCGGCGAGAGGGGCTGGTGTCGAGGTCGTCGACGGGGTCGTCTCTCTCGTCGACGGCTGCTTGTTCCTCGCTTTCCGAAAGTTCGATCGCGGCTTGCCTGTCGCTCTGCTGGTGCTCCAGGGCGCCCCCCCGCTCATGTCATCTCTCTTATGTCCTGCCAGAAGGACATGATGTGTCGACGACACCATCTCTCTCCTATACAAACGTACTGACACGTCTCATCCTACCTCGGGGAACCAGTTCACCTTCGGCGAACCCCCTGTGGCTACGGGAATCAACGGGTGGAGGGAGCCAAACCAAACGGAGTGGACACATTTATGGATTCTAGCATGAGCTCCTTCCCCCACGGGGGAACATCCTACACCACGGCAGACCAAGGAAAATGGCACTCGTCGTTTCAGAACCTCTCGCCTCAACCCGTTGGCGTAAATCGGGAGGGGGGAGGGGGGTTCACTCTCGTAGTACTGGAAGCTCAAATGGGGACACTTTGGGACACTTTGGGACACAGCAATCAAAGGCCTATTTACCGCACTGTAGTCACCCTAGGCTCCGCTGTGTGCAACGCACGTCAGAACCCTTGGTCTATCATGCTTGGCTGAGGTGGTACGCTGTGTGTTATGCTGTGTGCTGCCTCTCCTGGGCCTCTGACTTGCTGTACACATCTCCCAACCCGCGTGCCCCCAGGTCGCAAAACTGTATAATAGCATACATCGCCTGGTACTGGAAAATTTGCTGACTTGGCTTCAGTATTAAAGGTGTCCCCACGTGTTTTGGGGACACCCTTCATACTGAAGCCAAGTCACCCTTTGTCTGGCAAGGACTGCTCTAGCCTTTGTCTGGCAAGGACTGCTCTACCCTTTGTCTGGCAAGGACTGCTCTAGCCCCTGGACTAATGGCTGACAAACAAATTTGCGACACTTTTTTTTGCGGAGGGACTGGGTACTAGGAAGGTTTTACCTCCCTTCGCAAGGCGGAGGCGGTGGAAGACCCAAGAGAAAAAAACCATACATCTTGCCAACCTGGGGTGTTTCTACACGGAAAACAAGCATGAAAACACACACACCTTGGTCCTCCCCGTGCTTGCTGGGCCATCTTGGCGGCTTCCTCCGGAGAGAGAGGCCCCGGGAGTTGCAGCGCCGGCTTCGAGGAAGCCGCCGACTGCTGCTGCTGCTGCTGCCTGGACGCCGCCGCCTCGAGAGCAAACTGCTTGTGGTCCTGTTCGATGGATTTGATTTGTGGGGTCGGCGTGTGTATGAGGCCAAAACAATTTTCAGCGCGTAAGCGGCGCATCTTTTGCGCGTACCTGGTTTGGCAAAACGCATGTTGCCTGCAGCATGTGACCGGCGCGCTCGGGTACACCCAAGTTTCTCTTCCTCTTTCCAGCGTTAGCATTAGGAAACGTTTTGCCTCCACGAAAACGCTGTACAACCTTCGTACATATCAGTACTTTACTACGTAATGGACACTAACAATCACGAGAGCGCAACAAACCACCACCTCGCGCGACACACCCGAATCCCTCCCCACACAATAGCAACCAATCAAGCACCTCCACACGCATGCTGACAACGAAACCAAAGCAAGCGAGCACGACGCATAACGGCAACAACGAGGAGAAGCAGCAGGAGGAGGCAAACACGCACCTCTTCCATCTTGAGGCGGGCCTTCCTCTCCTCGTCGAGCTTCCTCTGCAACGCCAGGATCTGGTTCTCCAGCTTCGCCGCCTCGCGGTGTTCCACCACCAGTACGGCGTAGTTGCGCCGGGCCTGCGCCCCTCGCACGAACGTCTGCACCGCCACCGCCGCGCCTTTTCGCCAAAAAAAAGTTTTGAACGTTTTCGCAAAAAAAAAATGGTGCAGGAAAGGTCATGTGTTGGTGCGCCGGGTCACCGTGGGTGGGTGGGTGGATACGGTGGGTAGAGAGGGGTCGATATCGTTCTCGCGAGTTGTGCTCTCGTGTGTGCTGTGTGCTGTGTACGATGCTCATTCCCTGCGGTTGCACGCCCGCGTTGTTGGGCGGCTGTGCGGTCGAAAGCGGCGGTTCGGTCGATTGTTGCCGAAGCAAGAAGGGGGGGGGGGGCGGGGCGGGCACGGACCAGCAAGAACAAGGCCAACCAAACGCCAGACAAAACACAACAATGCCATCGTACAATAACCACTAGCACCAGAAGAAATCCGAAAGAAGACGTAAGGACACGTCTTCATGGTATTTTCATCTCCGAACGGACAACAAACCGCGACACACGCACTAAAGACAAAAGACAATAAACAAAAAAAAGGCATTCCAACAAATTACAGCAGGATTGGGCCCCACACCTTGCATGGCGGCGAAGCGTCTTCGCGCGACCAGCATCCTCCGGTACGCCTGCAGGCACGACGCCGCCCTGTGCCGTCTCATCGCCAGGACCACCTTGGCGGCCTTCACCCTCCTCCAGCAACTCTGCCGCCCCCGTCAAGGGACAAAGAAAAAAATGGTTAGTCGAAAATAAAGCTCGCAGTGCTTGTTCTTTTCGGAAACTACAACGATCGTCTGCCTCGGCAGCAGAGCGTCTGGTACCGCAGAGTCTTTCGGTTCCCTCGTACGACCATGACATCGTCCTTCCACCGTCCGGTGTGCCATCTATCATCACACCACCCCAGACTCACCATCCCCTCGCCCCCCTTTCAAGCAACGCGAGCACGGCAGCGTCACAACACACGACGCCAATACATACCATCCGAATGGCTCGGTTCCGGATTGCGCCTCTAAAGAAAAAGCGCGTTGGTTCTGCTAAAAAAGCGTCAGTTCGATTGGTAGGTAGCCTACCAAAATCACCAATTTTTCCGATCTTCGACTTCATTTCCGGGCGACGATAGTTCTACAACACACACAGCGCCGTATTCCTGCCAACGAGAAGATCGAACCAACCCCCCCCCCAAAAAAAAGACAAAAAAAAAAAAAAACATCGAACCCGATGTTCACACCGCACCTGAGCCCTGATCACCCGGCCCCTCGCCGTCAGGAACCGCCTCCTCTCCGCAACCCTCCTCCACTCCGCTTGCGCCCTCACCGCGCCTTCCCTCAGGTCCCTGTACCGTTTCTTCCTGGGGAACATTCTCGCCACCGCCTGCAGCACCGTCACTCTCAACGACCGCTCCTCCAGCCGAAGGGACTCTAGGTGCTCCAGGGCTCCCTTACGGAAGTAGACCTTGCTGCGCCCCATCTCGTACCGGAGGGGGGCGTCCTGCGAGGGGGAGGGGGGGGGGGGGGGGGGGGGGGGGGGGGAAAAAATGTTTTTTTTGGGGAAGGCGCGCGGGGGG